TATAAATATATATATATATATATGTGGCTTTATGTTTAAATTAAAATAAAAAATAAATTAAAAACAACTGACATAGATTTTAATTTGATTTTAGACATAAAGGCTAGTCATCTTTGTTTTAATTTTGTGTTCATAAAATTATGTGTTATAAATAATTTTATAATTTTACATATAAATTATTTGTATATGTGTCTTTATGTTTAAAAAATTTAATTAATTAATTTTCTTTTAATTTCATTTATTTTATAAATTATTTTTTTAAGCATAAAGGCCAGTCATCTTTGTATTAATACAATATTATATGCTTTATATATAATTATATAGTTTTACATATAAAATTATATGTCCAGTATATGTGTTTTTTCGTTTAAAATAAAAAAATAATAAAATAAAATTAATTGTACTTAAATGTAGTTTTAAACATAAATGCCAGTCATCTTTACATTAATTTTGTGTTAATACAAAATTGTTTTATATGTAATTTTACACATAAATTATATGTATATGTGTCTTTATGTTTAAAATAAAATTAAATAAATTTGAATTGAATTTATTTTTAAACATAAAGGCCAGTCATTTTTGTATTAAATTTATGTTATTACAAAATTATATGTTTTATATAAAAATATTAAAACTATGTGGACACCTATTCATTGTACATGTCGCTGTCAATTTGACATTGTCGTTGTATTTGAACTGTCATTTCATTTTTTGCACTGTCTATATTTTGCACGGTCTGTATTTTTAGTTTTTTTTTGCACTGTCGTTGTATTTGCACTGTAATTTTATTTGCACTGTCTGTATTTTGCACTGTCGTTGTATTTGCATCTGTATTTTGTACTGTCTGGAGCCAGCACCAAAGCTTTTTAATCATCATAGCACACGTGCTGCTGATGATGTGACAATAAAAGTGATCTGATTTAATTTGATTTGAATATAATTAACATAAAAATAAACATATAAATCATATGTATATGTGTCTTTATGAACATTTTGTTTCGTAAAATTAAAATTCAATTAAAAACTTCCTATTTATTACAATTATTCTATTCATTTTCTATTTTTGAACACAAAAAGCGTCCAACTTCTTACTAATTTAATTAATTTTATTTAAGGCTTTTAAAAAATATTCAAAATGCATTTAATTGATCAACATAATATTAATGCCCTTCATATTTATTTGATTGAGTACAGAAACATGGTAAAGCACCAATATTTTGATTTATTATACATGTATAGTATATACACTCACTGGCCACTTTATTAGATACACCTTACTAGTACCGGGTTGGAGCCCATCTGCCTCGAGGTTCAACGTGTTGTGTGTTCAGAGATGCTCTTAAGCATAACTCATCTATAAGAGATTTCATTTTTAATAAATATTTAGATTAACAAACACTACGATTACTTTTGCCACTATGAAATTGAACCCAGTCCCAAAACGACCAATACTAAATAACAATCTATATTAGGGATTTTCATTCATTCATATGTTTTCTTTTCGGCTTTATTAATCCAGGGTCGCCACAGCGGAATGAACCGCCAACTTATCCAGCACATGCTTTATGCAGAGGATGCCCTTCTGGTTTCTGGGGAAACATCCATACACACTCATTCACACTCATACACTATGGACAATTGAGCTTACCCAATTCACCTGTACCGCATGTCTTTGGACTGTGGGGGAAACCGGCACCCGGAGGAAATCCTGAGAACATGCAAACTTCACATAGAAACGCCAACTGACCCAGGCGATTCTAGAACCAGCGACCTTCTTGCTGTGAGGCGACAGCACTGCCTACTGCGCCACTGCGTCGCCCCTACTAGATATTTTATCTTTAATAAATAGTTATATTAACAAACATTACATTTACTTTTGCCACTAAATTAAATACTTTAAACCACGAATAACATACCAACACAGCTAAAAAAAGGTTTGTGCCAACAATGTCTTCGAAACGCTCGATTTTGGAAATGTGCTTGTCAGATTTACAGCTATAACTCCCACAACTCTGAGAAATGAATGTGCCGCCGCGATCATGTTTCTTCTCAGCGCTTTACAGAAGCTATGAAGGGGTAAAAAGGCCATAAAGATGAAGGACGGAGGATCAGCAGAGTTATGAACATCTGATCAGCCGCTCTGCGCTCATATCTTCATATCTTACAGCAGGATTATCTTTCACAGAGCTCAGATATGTGCAGGTGCCTGTGCTTTCCAAACAGTGTGTGTGTTTGTGTGTGTGCGTATATAATGTAAGCTGAAGTAAGAACAGCCAGCAGTGTGTGTGTGTGTGTGTGTGTGTGTATTTCATTGCACTCCTGTGGCTTTATACTCTTATTAAACTGTGGGAAAGTGCCGTCTCTTCCCAGCCTGCAGCCACAGAAACATGAGAGCACATACACACTCACAAACTTGTATACATGGTTTACGAGGACTCTCCATAGGCATAATCTATTTAATACTCTAAAGACTGCTTATTATAAGACCCTACCCCAAACTCAACCCTTACAGGAGATCCTGTGGCAAATTATGAATGTCAAAAGACCCTGTTTTAAGCATTTTGAATTATGAGGACATGGCTTTGGTCATAAACCACAGTACAACTAGGTTAAACCCATGTCATTATACAATTCTGTGTCCTCGTAAACCACATAAACAAGTACACACACAGGTTTCTGTAACCAGTGTTTGTACAAAGGAAGTTCACGCTCTTCAAAGATGACATATAATTAATAACTGATGTTGAACTACAGGAATGTGTGTCTGTGTGTGTGCTCATCAGTGACTGATAATATATACTGTTGAAGTCAGAATTATTAGCCCTCCTGAATTATTAACCCTAGCCAAAATAAGACAACTGATACTTTCTCCAGAGAAGAAAAAATATTATAGGACATACTGTGAAAATTCCTTGCTCTGTTAAACATCATTTGGGAAATATTAGAAAAAATACTTAAAGAGCCCCTATTATGGGTTTTTGAAAACGAGCTTCCATGCAGTGTGTATGAAGTGAATGAAAACATCCAGCTGAGGTTTAAATCTGAAAGTGCAGCGTGTTTAAAACTATTGATTCTTTAGCAAACATAGTCGACTCAGAGTCGAATAAATGAATTGTGTTGGGTTTGAATCTTTTGCTTGAATGCGTCAACGTCGATACCGTACTTCACTAAATATGTAGTACTGGAACCAGTAAAACGTGAACGCGCCTTTCCCTTCAGTTACTAGCAGAGCGCTGAGGATCACGGGATTGATCATGACATGAATAGATGACAAACACTGAGGGCCCTATCATACACCCGGCGCAGTGTGTCGCAAGTCGCGGCGCAATAGTCTTTTGGTAGTTTCAGCTTGGCGCAAGAGTCGTTTTGAGGCGTTGCACTACGCTGTTCAAATAGCAAATGCATTAGCGCTCATTTGTGTGCCCATAGGCGTTCTGGTCTAAAAAGGAAGGCGTTCTGAGGAGGACCGCTGGCGCGTTGCTATTTTGAGAAACTAAAATTGATTTTTCATTAGACCAAGGGCTCTATTTTGATAGTCAATGCGCAGAGCGCAAAACGCAGGGTGCAAACGCATTCAGGGCGTGTCAGAATGCATTTTTGCTAATTTACAGACGGGAAAATCTGCTTTGTGCAGTGGCGCATGATCTATAGGGTTGAGTTCATTTTCTTAATGAGTTATAGGTGTGTTCTGAAAATAAATCAATTAGAGTCTCATCTCCCATTCCCTTTAAGAGCCAGCTGCGTCGCGCCAAGAGCGCATTCGCTATTTACAGGACGTAAAGTAAGTCTAAGTGGAAAAAAATGAGCATTTCACAAGCAAACAGTTAACAGTTTTTTAACAGAAAACAGTTAAACAGAGCATCTACTGCGTGAGAATAAGAGATAATGGATCTACTTTCACTTTCGCTCTTGGATAGGGAAACCTTTACGCACAGACATCAATTAGTCTATAAATAATTAATTTCATTTGTTAAGCACAAATATTCGTTTCAAAACCATTTCTAAATTCAGTTCTAATTTCCAGCAAACGAATAAATGAACAACAATAACAAAGTGTGCTCAAAAACCTGAGTTATATCCAAATACACATGCTGTGCCCCATATGGTCTAAAACCTGACAGGTAGGCAAATCTAAGCTTGTTTTTAATAAAGCAAATATAAATATGGATATAATAAATAATACTGCTAATAATAATAACATTATACAAAAGTAAATTGTTATGAATGAACTGAAAAAGCCTCCCGAGATGAAGACATAAAAGCAGTGATTTTTCATATTTATGTAGGCTAGAAAATAATATGTTTTGTAATATTTTAATCCTTTATATTTATATCCTATATCTATTCTTATTATATCATATATACATCCTTAATATGTAATTTTTTTCATATGTAAAGATATTTGCCTATTGCTCTCTTGTGCGTATTAAGCAGTGTGTAAGCGAGGCGCAACTCTGCGCCGGAGTTTAGACCGGGTTTGTTTTGGTCTAATGAAAAATCTATATTAGTTTCTCAAAATAGCAACGCGCCAGCAGTGCGCCTGCAGAACGCCTTCCTTTTTAGACCAGAACGCCTATGGGCGCACATATGAGCGCTGATGCATTTGCTAATTAAACAGCGTAGCGCAACCCCTTAAAACGACTCTTGCGCCAAGCTGAAACTAGCAAACAAGTATTGCGCCGCGCCTTGCGCCACACTGCGCCGGGTGTATGATAGGGCCCGAAAACTAACCCAGTCTAAACTCCGGCGCAGAGTTGCACCTCGCTTATGCACTGCTTAATACGCACGAGAGAGCAATAGGCAAATTTCTTTACATATGAAAACATTTTAATTAAAATCACAAAAACCACAATTAAAATCAAAGCCTAAAGGGGTCTGTTTCAAAGAGTTATGTAACATTATTTATGCTGTATTTTGAGCTGAAGCTTCACACACTCTAGGGACATCAGAGACTTATTTTATATCTTGTAAGAGGTATAATAGGTGCCATTTTAATGCACTGTTTAAATGTTGCATAAATGCACTATGATCACACTTAACCAAATAACCGTGGAATCATCAAGAGACATTAGATCCCTAAAAATGCACCAACAGCTTTATTTAGAGCACAGTAAAAATAATAAAATAAGCAAGTATTATTAAATATTCAAATGTACATAACAATAATATTAACTTCAATGTTTATAATTTATTAGTGAACACTGAAATAGATATTAATTAGGATAAAAATAAATCTAAAATCTAATAAAGTGAAATAATGTTTACAAATGAAATCTTACAATAATGTGCCACAAAAATGACCAATTGAAACCAATTCTTACTATTAATGTATTATTCTAAAAATAAAAAGTACTTTTAAAAAATAAGATTAATAAAAATCAATTCGCAATACGTTCATTCCAGCAGGACTTTCACATCTGTGCCTAATAAAGCATGTGATTATGTACATGTGAGCGGGATCAGTGTTGACATTCACTCACCTCCTCCCTAAACCTGCTGAAATCTGCAAAGTTTGGCTGCTGAACGGCCTTCTGGGAACTTTTCTCAGAGCCGGGAAGGAAGCTGAAGATCTGAGACAGAGAATTAGGCAACAAGTTATTACACAACACTGAAATACTGAACAGGCCAGAAAACAAATAAATCTCTCAAAGCAATCGGACATCAGCCATCGCATGCAACAAATCTGCAATCTGATTGGATAAGCCAGCTAAAAAAAAAAAAAAGCAGAATATATTTATTTCTTGATTTATTCAATTGTTTATTTATTTGTTTTTATTTGCTTGTTTGTTGGTTTGTTTATTTATTTGCTTGCTTGTTTATTTATTTAATTGTTTGTTTGCTCGTTTATTTACTTGCGTGCTAGTTTATTTGTTTAATTGTTGGTTTATTAAATAGTTTGTTTATTTACTTGCTTGCTTGTTTATTTATTCATTCATTCATTAAATTTTTTATTTATTTATTTGTTTATTTATTAGCTTAATTGTTCAGTTACTTGCTTGCTTGTTTATTTATTTATTTGTCTGTTGGTTTTTTAATTGTTGGTTTATTTATTTGTTAGTTTATTTGCTTGTTTATTTGTTTGTTTATTTGCTTGTTATTTAATTGTTTTTTTTTATTTGCTTAATTTTGGGCTTATTTAAATGTTTGTTTGTTTGTGTAATTGCTAGCTTCTTTATTTATTCAATAATTTATTGATTTAACTGTTTGTTTATTTATTACTTTATTTATTTGCTTGCTTTTTTGCTTATATATTTGCTTAATTGTTTATTTATTTGCTTGCTTATTTGTCTATTTATTTGCTTGCTTGTTTATTTGTTTATTTATTTGCTTGTTTGTTTATTTGTTTAATTGTTTGTCTATTCAATTGTTTGTTTATTTATTTGCTTGCTTGTTATAGATTTTTAAATTTATTTGTTAAATTGTTTGTTTATACAATTGTTTGTTTATTACTTTGCTTGCTTGCTTATTTATTCATACGTTTATTTATTTGTTTATTTATTTGCTTGTTTGTTTATTCAATTGTTTATTTTTTATTTGCTTGCTTGTTTATTTATTTATATATTCATTCATTTAATTGTTTGTTTGTTTATTAGTTTATTTATTTGCTCAATTATGTATTTATTTGTTTAATCATTTATTTGCTTGCTTGTGTATTTATTTATCTGTTTGATTATTTATTTATTTGTTTATTTTACACCATATCAGCAGCATTGTATATTTTCATGGTTACACTGGTAATAAATGTTCAATAAATTATTTAAAAACATAACAGCTTCTTAACAAACAAGCAACATACAGAAAAACATACAGATAGACAAACAAACAACAACACTGATAAATAATACAAAAAAAATTCTTCCAGGAGATACTTTTTTAAAACTATATGACCTTAAAATATTCAAAAATTCTCCAATATCATTTAATAATATACATTATATTAAAATGAGTGCTGCCAAATGATTAATTGCAATAATCACATCCAAGATAAAAATGTGTATTTACATATATATATATATATATATATATATATATATATATATATATACATATATGTGCACTGTGTATGTTTATGAATATATGTATAAATACACACACATAATTAAACAAATAATTTATAAAATAAACTCATATTTTTAAATAAACAAAAATATACACAGTATGCACACATATATTTTATAAATATTAACTTTCATGGTTCTATTTTAAAGTCTCCTACAATTGCCATAAAACTATCCAGCATTGTCTTTATAATGAAAACCATTTAATTTTCTCATAATAGCACTGCAGCATCAGCTCTTTTCTCTGTGCATGAAACGCTTTAAATTTTTTATTAAATAAATTAAATGCTTTAAATGTGTAGACACTGAAAGACATTGTCACCTGTGTTGCTGGTGGTCGTGGAGGGAGAGCTGGAGGAGGAGGCAACCAGCCACTTTTAGCACCTGACAGAGAAAAAAAATAATTCAGAAAGATATTGAAAAAAACATTCTGGCCTATTTAAAATAGCTATACTGATGCTCTTCATCAAGCCGGTTCACTCATTTCTAAAACAATCAGATTTGAATGAAGCTCAATACTATAAATGACTTTACAACCAATACATTTTACATATATATATATATATATATATATATTTTTTTTTTTTTTCTCAAAAAATCCAGGCTGTCGTCAACGGATCAAATAGGCAAGGCAAGTTTATTTACATGACACATTTCATACACAATGGTAATTCAAAGTGCTTTACATAAACAAGAATAAAATATACAAGTATAAGAAATAAAAACAATTAATAAAAGTGATTAAACACAGATTAAAATGTGTCAAACAGTTTTTAAAGGAATGAAAAAGAAAAGAAAGACATACTAGTGCGATCTGTAGGACATAGCACAGTGCTCATTCAGTAAAGGCAGAGCTTAACAGATATGTGGCTAATGTTATGCTCTGCCTTTACACATTTTTAATATGAATGTGGCTAATGTTGGAGCACATCTGATCATTTCTGGAAGCTGATTCCAGCAGCGGGGGTCACAGTGGCTGAAGGCGGGTTCACCCTTCTTTGACTGAACTCTTGGAATTTCTAGTTAACTTGATCCTAAAGATCTGACTGATCTGTTAGGTTTGTATTCAGTGAGGTTTGTATCTGTAATGTATTGAGGTTCTAGGCCATTTAGTGATTTATAGACTAGTAATAATACTTTAAAATCTATTCTGAATGTAACTGGGAGCCAGTGTAAAGACAGGTGTGAAGTGCTCTGATATGCAAGTTCTGGTCAGAATCCAGGCCGCAGCGTTAAAGATAAATATATATATGGATAAATAAATCAAACTTAAAAATGAATTAATTTTTGTGTGCAATTGTGAACTGTTGTATAAACACAATATCACATGAGGAGCAGTGCCATATGGCTGTATATTGTCACTGGTGGGACACTAAGGCACTCAGCCTGTGGCCTCGAGTCAATGCATATATATATATATATATAAATATATAAATAAATATACAGTTGAAGTCAAAATTATTAGCCCCCCTGAATTATTGGACCGCATGTTTATTTTTTTCCCAATTTCTGTTTAATGGAGGGAAGATTGTTTCAGCACATTACTAAACAGAATAGTTTTAATAACTCATTTCTAATAACTGATTTATTTTATCTTTGCCATGATGACAGTAAATAATATTAGACTAGATATTTTTCAAGACACTTCTACACAGCTTAAAGTGACATTTAAAGGCTTAACTAGGTTAATTAGTTAAGCAAGTTATTGTATAACGATGGTTTGTTCTGTTGACTATCAAAAAAAAAAAATAGCTTAAAGAGGCTAATAATTGTATCCGTAAAATGATGTTTAAAAAATTTAAAACTGCTTTTCATTGTAGCCGAAATAAAACAAATAAGACTTTCTCCAGAAGAAAAAACATTATCAGACATACTGTGAAAATTTCATTGCTCTGTTTAACATCATTTGGGAAATATTTAAAAAAGAAGAAAAAAATTTGAAGGGGGGATAATAATTCTGACTTCAACTGTATATATATATATATCAACTGATAAATAATAATAATAATAATAATAATAATAATAAATAAGGATTTTAACCCTTCCAATTATAATTGTTTACAAATATAAACAAAAAAGTTTTACTGTTTGTTTTTTAATTACAATATATATATATATATATATATATTATTTTTATTTATCAGCACTAAAAACTACCACTCACACACATATAACTTACTCAGCATATACTGTTAAAAGCAAAATACTTTATGTTGGTGGGTTTTTATTTACTACTTTTGTCTTTTTTATTTTATTATTTATTTTTCTTTCTTTGCTGATGTAATATGTGAACAAAATATGTAAAACATAATCCTTTCTCCTGAATCTTTGTCTTCAATAAAACCTTAATTGACCAAAATCAAGCTTTTTAGCAAAGAGAAGTTTTAAGCACAATTTTAAACATTTTTTATTTGAAAGTCTAATTAAATCTATTGTTTGGTATGAATTTTTAACATTCAAGGGTCTACAGATACGAAAAAATAGACATTCTTGGCTAATTCTGGCACAGTTTACAGTAATGCTGATTCATATACATTGCCCCACACTCAAAAAAAAAAAAAAAAAAAAAAAATGATGTTTGCTGTTTGTTCAAACTACTTAAAACTATTGTTGTCATGATACTGGAATTCGGTACCAATCGGTACTGAAATTTAAAAAAAATTCCATTTCCTGCGAACATTTGAGCGATTTTGAGCCCGTTCTTAAACAGCTCTGATTTACCATTGTGTTCACGTGCTCAAAATAAAATGACTGTGACTGGCCGTGAAGGTCATCAGTTCACCAAACTCACTGTTTACTAAGTTTAACCACAGATACAGAGACATAGGAGCATTTTAACTTTAAAAGGTACTATTATTATTAAACATTCATTCATTTATTTTCCTTCAGCTTAGATCCTGATTTATCAGGGGCTGCCACAGTGGAGTGAACCACCAACTACTCTGGCATAATATTAAACAAATGAACTAAAAACCTGGTGTGCCTTGCTGGAGGAGCTTGTTGAGGTCGAGTGAGGAGGCGCGTGAGTGACTTTTCTGGGGTCGAGGAGGAGGCGTCGGCGGCTCCTCAACCTTCTTCATCGCATCATCAATAGACGTGCTGGAATACGACCTGAAGATAAAACACAAACACACACATTCGTTAGGTACAGTTATTAGCACTCCTGTAAATTAAAATTTTTTTAAATAATGTTTAACAGAGCAAGACATTTTTCACAGTATGTCTGATAATATTTTTCCTCTGGAGAAAGTCTTATTTGTTTTATTTCGGCTAGAATAATAGTGAAATATTTTTTTTAACCAATTTAGGGTCAATATTATTAGTCGCCTTAAGCTATATATTTTTTATTGTGTACAGAACAAACCATTGTTATGCATACCTTGCCTAGTTAAGTCTTTAAATATCACTTTAAGCTGAATACTACTATCTTGAAAAACATCTAGTCAAATATTATTTACTGTCATCATGGCAAGGATAAAATAAATCAGTTATTAGAAATGAGTTATTAAAATTATTATGTTTAGAAATGTGTTGAAAAAGAAATCTCTCTATTAAACAGAACTTGTGGAAAAAATATTTAAAAAAATAATTTAACAGTTTAATGCATATACCCAAATCCCACCCATAACTCATTAGGAGAATAGGGACAACCCTTTTAAACCATGTGCCTGGTGCCCAGACTGTTTTTCCCATCCTTAAAATGACAAATGTGGATTCGTGACCGCCCTATGTGAAACTGCACCATGCGTTTTAGACCATGCGCCAAGATCAGGGATTCTTAACCGGTGGGTCTTTGCGAATCCAGCAGGTGGGCGGCAAGATTACAATTTACTTAATTATTACACTATAGTTATTTGATTTTATTATTAAATATGTTTCATATAAAAATGATTGGTGTATTGGCATTTCCCATTTTCTGTTATTAATTACTTTGCTGCTAAAAGACTCTCACTTTAAAATACAGACTTAACCATGGCTGCACCTCCAACCGCTGCACGTCAAATAGGACTACATGCTCAACTGTATAAAGCAAACCATCATGCAAATGTTTAGGTAACAATGATTAGAGTTATAACCAGTGTGCTCGTGCCTCACGTCTACGACTCGTATCAGAGTCTCACATCTTCGTTGATTCACAAATAATGCATGCTCTTTTTGTGTGAATTCTTTTGTGAAAAATCGGCATAGTTGTCCAAATTTGTGTTTTATAACGCAAGTTCTAGTGTTTTATAATGGATGTGCGCCAATACAGGAGGTTCTAGCGAGACGCTGTGGTGCTTTAGTGGCCAATAATATCCTCAAAACACAACCCCCTTCAGATCGATGTGTTTAAACAGACTTAAAGTGTTTTTACTGTACTTTACTTTTTTTTTTTTTTTTTTTTTAATGGATAAGATCGAAAGATAAATAGTAGTCAGTCCAATTTAAAGCAGCAGCTTTTTTTGTCATCTTTGTCCTACAGGTTATTTATTAAAGAAAAGGTCCAAATACCCTGCAGTTGTAAAAAAAAAAAAAAAAAAAAAAACCTGACGAATTCAGGAGCTTTGAATCTGTGTTTTAATAAATAAATAAAAAATATATTATTGTATATTCTATATTTAAATTTTTATATACAGTTGAAGTCAGAATTATAAGCACACCTATTTATTTTTTCTCCAATTTCTGTTTAACGGAGAGAAGATTTTTTCAACACATTTCTAAATATAATAGTTTTAATAACCCATTTCTAATAACTGATTTATTTTATCTTTGTCATGAAGACAGTAAATAATATTTGACTAGATATTTTTCAAGACACTTCTATACAGCTTACAGTGACATTTAAAGGCTTAACTAGGTTAATTAGGTTAACTAGGCAGGTTCGGGTAATTAGGCAAGTTATTGTATAATGATGGTTTGTTCTGTAGACTATCGAAAAAAAAATAGCTTAAATTTTGACCTTAAAATGGATTTAAAAAAAATTAAAAACTGCTTTTATTCTAGCCGAAATAAAACAAATAAGACTTTCTCCAGAAGAAAAAATATTATCAGACACACAGTGAAAAATTCCTTGGGAAAATTTTTTTAAAAGAAATAAAAAATTCAAAAGGGGCAAATAAATTCTTCAAGTATATATATTTATAAATAATGTTTCGTTATTTTTATAAAAAGCTGTAGAAAAATAAGATAGTAATAGTATAAGCAAAATGAATGTTTTGCTGATAAATAAAGGTTTAAAATAAGCATTTTCTCTAGACAATCAGTAAGAAAAAATGTCAAAAGTGGACCTTCAAAAAAATGTTTGGAGAAGGAGGTGGGCCCCGAAGTGAAAAAGGTTGACCTAGATGGCCTAGATGAGTAAAATTGATCAATTTAATGCAATCCTAACAATACAGATTTCTAAAACCCAAACTTTTGAATGACAGTTCAGCAGTATGAAAATATAATTTTACCTGGGTCGTGTTCTCGACTTCATATTTGCATCAAGCTCTTGTGGGGAATCTGTACAATAAAAAAATCATATGGTAGAATACAGAAGTATTATTATTATTATTATTTTTTACCAAAAAAAAGCATTATACTCTAGTCAGACTTTAAACTTATTATTTAATCCCCTCATTCAGGCCTTTCTGTTTAGTAACACAGCCTAAAAAAACAAATAAAACATGCATTTCTTTTATTTACCCGTCATCCTCAAGAGAACTTGAAGCTTTAAGACGCCTCTGAACTGAACTGCTCTCTCTTACAGGAACGCTCAATCATAACACTAAAACATCAAACACACTCCACAGCTTTGATACTATCAAAACACACTCATCTGAAACAGGCCTTGAACACCTACAGCTGCGGCTCACATCTCCAACAAATCCCATCATGCACTGCACCGGCACCCAAGAAGACTCCAGATCAACAATAGATGATTCCCAATTCATCCACATACACTACTATCTAAAAGTATGCACTCTATGGGCTCTATTTAAACAATCTCTGAGGTCTAAAGAGCATGGCGCAAAAGCATTACGGGCATGTCTGAATCCCCTTTTGCCACTTTTTCAATTTTAAGGACGGAAAAATACAGTTTGCATGGTCTAACAGGATTGTGCTTATTCTCTTAATGAGCTATGGGTGTGTTTTGAGCATAACGTGCATTAAACCAATCAGAGGCTCATCTCCCATTCCACTTAAGAGTCAGTTGCATCACGCCATGGCCCATTTGCTATGTACAAGGTGGACTTTGTAAGTGGAAAAACTGAACTCTTCACTAGCGAGAAAACAGTTAAACAGAGCATCTGCAGCGTGAGGATAAAGAACGAGCCTCCTCCATTTGGCCTCTTAACATTCTCTTTACTTCATTTTAACTCTTTACTCCTTTACTTTCGTGGATTAGGAAATGGTGTTGTACGGTCTCCACTGAAGACTTCCATCAGCCTACATATTTAATTTCGTCTGTTAAGCACAAAGATTTGTTTCAAAACTATTACCAAATTCAGTTCTAATTTCCAGCAAACAAATAAATGTACAATAATAACGAAGTATGGTCAAGAGTTATATCCAAACACACGTCCTATTCTTCTGCTCCATATGGTGATGCTTATGTCTCCAAAACACAACAGGTGGACAAATCTAACACAAAGTGAGTCCACACAGTGGCACAAATGGATTTTCTATTTAAACAACATGGTGCAAACCTTGAAAATGACAGTTGCACTGGCCTGAAAAAAGCAACAAATCGCGCCAAACACGTCAGGGTGTATGATAGGGCCCTACATGTTTACTATACTATAGTTACTATAATTTGAAACACACAATTTTTCCCCCTAAAACAACTAGGACAGATTACGGAGCCCCTAAAGTGACATGCAAAAAAAATAATAATAATGAAGACTATCGCGTGCGCACAACATATGAATCGTGTGCGGACGACATAGATATTCACTACCTGACAAACGTCTTCGTCAATCGCATTTGTGAGAGCAACAAATAATAACTGGAAATTTAGTTGATCATCAAGTGGCAGAAGGTCGATTTTTTAGATGAATCATCTGTTGAACTGCATCCCAACCATCACAAATATTGCAGAAGACCTACTGGAACCCACACGGACCCAAGATTCTCACAGAAATCAGTCAAGTTTGGTGAAGGAAAAATCATGGTTTGTGGTTACATTCAGTATGGGGGCGTGCGAGAGATCTGCAGAGTGGATGGCAACATCAACAGCCTGAGGTATCAAGACATTTGTGCTGCCCATTACATTACAAACCACAGGAGAGGGCAAATTCTTGTTCTTTATATTCTATATTGGACATTATTACTGTTAAGTGACAAGTAATTTGTCTAAGCAAAATCAGACCTTTCTGTCCTAATTAAATCATTAAAAGTCAAAGGCATGATCATATTTTATTGTGGTAAAATAAGTGTAATCTAGAGGCCTTTACCTTTCATATAAGCCACTTCTGATACCAAATGATCAACTAGAAGTCCAGTTATTATTTGTTGTTCAACTTGCATAGACAACAAGATTTTTGTCAGGTAGTGTACATATTGCGTAATAATAAGTCTTTATATTTATTTAATTGTTTTGCACATGTCACATTAGGGACTCATGACATGTGTCTTGTAACCAACACAAGAAAAATAAAGAATTTCATAAGAATAATCTTGAAAGCAAAGTGCACATCAGCATTGGATCTGATCTGAAGTAATAAAACGTGGAGAGAACAGGATTATTTGTTAACTCCAGGGATCAGGGATATTCAATAAATATGAGCTGTTATTGGATCAGAGCAGATGCACGAAATGTTAGAACAAAAGGTCAGCGCTGTGGATAAAACAGGATCTGCGTCCACACCCAGAGGCTGGAAAACATCACAAAATAACAAACACACAGACGCTGGACGACAATTCAGTGTGATGTGAACAGGCTGATTCACTGATGCATGTGTTTTAATCAGAATTCATCTCATCATTTGACCGCAATAAAGGGATAATTCAGTCAGGAATGAGAACATTTTGCTGTTATTTATTTCACATTTATTACTACTGTCACTGTCGTTTTTCCTATGCGCTGAAATAAAAAAAGTTTAAAAAGATTTTTTTTTAAAGTAAGTGGTTGCAAACAATATATATGCCCTGAAATTAAACAAACAAATTAAATAAATATATATATTTATTATAATATAATTTACATTTAATCCAATATAATAAATGTAATAAGGTATAATATATTATGATGAAATTTACATATAATAAAATATAACTAACATAATAAGGTATAAAATAATTTACATAAAATCAAATGTAATAAATACAATAAGGTATAATATAATGTAATGTAATGTAATATAATATAATATAATATAATATAATATAATATAATATAATATAATTTAGATGTATTAAAATATAATAAAAATAATAAGGTATTGCTTCCCAGAGATGGAATGCAGCTGGAAGGGCACCCGCTGCGTAAAACATGAGCTGGAAAAGTTGGTGGTTCATTCCATTGTGGCGACCCCAGATTAATAAAGAGACTAAGCCGAAAAGAAAATGAATGAATGAATAATGTAATATAATATAATATGATATAATATAATATAATATAATATAATATAATATAATATAATTGAATTGAATTTACATATAATAAAATATAATAAACATAATAAGGTATAATATAATATAATTTACATATAACAAAATTTTATAAATATATTAAGATAATATAACATAATAAAATATAATTAACATAATATTCCCCAGAGATAGGTTGCGGCTGGAAGGGCATCCGCTGCGTAAAAACTTGCTGGATTAGTTGGCGATTCATTCCGCTGTGGCCACCCCGGATTAACAAAGGGACTAAGCCGACAAGAAAATGAATGAATAATTGAAATAACATAATAAAGTATAATATAATATAATATA